ACAAAATATCGGCAAAAGTAGTCAAAAAGGCAGACACCAACCAGTACAATAGATATAACATAATGCAATAAGAAATGATTGAAAGAGTTACTGTAATATTAAGATTATATAATTGTTCGTAATGCAACGTTATATTGCTAAACATGACATTATACAGAAGAACATCAATTTTAAAATAAGAAAATAAGATCCTTATATATAATTCTGTAAGACAAGATTTTTACCAGGAAATTGTGGACGTCCAGAAAGTATGAGTAGGCTAATTAATGTAATTTTCATGTTCTATTTTAACCTTTTGATTAAGAATTATAAACAACGATGGAGGATCAATAGTAAACACTCCATTGTAAATAGGTACCGGTACAACAATACAAATTAAGGTGTATTATAAATATTTAAAACACGTTGGTCCACTGAATTTCTATACACTCTGTATATTAAAAGGTCGCAAAATGTGATAAAAACTGTTCATTTATAAGATTTCCAACCGTGTGATACACTATTGAGCTTTAAGTTTGTTTATGTACGCTTTAGTGGTTTGAATACAACAAAACATGGCGTCTTTAACGTTAAAAACATAGAAAGTCAACATGTTTAAAGCAAAAATTGTATTAATATTATTACTAGTGTACATGTTGCTCGAAATCGAGCAATTGCAAAGAAGTAAAGTAGTTACAGTATTTAAAAACAAATAATTAACTTATTTAAAAACGAATAAAAGTCATAATTTCCTATGAGTTTAAAAGACCCAGCTCATAGATTACGTGACTAACAGTTACATATAATCAACATTTCTAGTAAATATTTGATCATTTTTCAAAAGCTGATCTGGTTTTTTAGTGTATTCTACATATCTTTCCCACTTATAGCCGCATTAGGTGGTCCAGGTTGACCTTCGTCAATGATAATGTAGTCTGCATAGTACTACCCGTTGTCACTAGTATGTTTACAAATTTCAGTAATTTTTTATAGCGATGACATTTTGTTTACATTACTTAAGAACTGCCTGATTTTCTGCATAACCTCTCTGTCATAATTTTATTTGCTTCAATTGGCATTAATTTGGCTACCTAGTTACTGTTATAACGTAAGTTATATTTACCTGAAAAAAATGCAGAATTGAAAGGCCAAATGTCGTTCAGATGGTTTTTTGTTTCCCTTAAATGTGAATAATGCAAATCCTTCAGTGAAAGTTTTATTAATGTTTCGTGGATGTAGTCATATTATTTTAAAATCACTTGAATTTTATGAAAACATATATTTAATGTCCTTGCCGTACCAGTTTAATTCAGCCCTAGAGTGTTTTCCTTTGCCAATCATCATAAAGCTCTATTCCTTTTTATGTTACTATTCTTCAAGCAATTAGTTATATATTTTCCAAACGACTTTTCACTGTCCAACACCCAATATAAGTAATTCAAAATAGTAACACTTTGGCTAACATCCCTGTTCATTGTGTGTGGGAATCTTCATATTGTAAGTGCTCTTCATTATTTAGGATGATAACGATAGTAAATAGTTTTTTTTAATCTCTATTTTTTCTACTTGGTGGTGTTCTATGACTATGTGGTGTCCTATGTTTCCATGGTAAAAAATCGGTTCTTTCAATTATTGCTCAAGAAATACAGTACCCTGTCAATTCATTTTTCTTTTTTGGTAAAATATATCAAATTGCCCAGGCTTTCTCGATTTTTTACATTGGAATAAAGTACGAATGTAAATTAAAGTAGGAAATATTTAATTTCAACCAAATCAGTAAATGTAACCTATGCGTTTCGTTGAATTGGAAAATAAATAACAGCAATTAAATTATACAGCTGATCAAAATGTAAACAATTATGTTCTCCATAAGGATAACATGGGAACTTTCAAAGCCACTGGGGCAGAGCGCAAGGGGCTTTTTCGAAAATGTAAGGCCAGTTTGCAAATCTACGCGACACGCTCTTTCCAATGAGACGTCAATGGATAAAATCGGTTAAGAAATGGCGAAGGAGTTCAACCGACAAAGTTGCATGTAGGGTATTAATTATATAGATTGTATACGACGGCGGATATTTGAACGCCTTCAATGTGAGGGACGCAATAGTTTATACTTTGGACCAAACGAACTCGTATTAATGTGTTGGACCAAACGATTTTGGACCAAACGAACTGTTTTACAACTGTTGGACCAAACGATTTTGGACCAAATGAACGGCAATATAAACGCACAGTATATTTCATAAGTTTACTCTACAATGCAACATTTTACTTCTAGTTTGGCCTGTACTTTTGGACCAAACGATTTTGGACCAAACGAACGTGTTTTTAACTGTTGGACCAAACGATTTTGGACCAAACGAACGAGTTTTTAACTGTTGGACCAAACGATTTTGGACCAAATGAAATTGGATAAAACGATTTTGGACCAAACGAACGAGTTTTTAACTGTTGGACCAAACGATTTTGGACCAAACGAACGGCAATATAAACTGTGGACCAAACGACTTTGGACCATTTGAAGATGATCCTGAAAATCAATTCAGACAAATGGAAATTCGCTTAGTCGGCAGGTTTGCTGCGGCGGGGGTATTTTAATTAAAGGAGAAAAACGTGATTGCAGGTCCAAATATGTTTCCTCCTCCATCCTCAAGTAGTTATGCAAGGTTTTAGGATAAAATTGCAATTCCTCCAAAATGTTAATATGTGCGAGTATTAAGCTTGTTTTAAAAGTCATTGCTGAAGCCATACAGAACACTTCATTTTGCACTATATAGAAATAACAATTCATCGTTCAAAAACTCGTTCAAAAGAGGCCGCCAACCTCTTTAAAAAAAAAAAAAAAAAAAAAAAAAAAAAAACTTAATGTAACACAATATAATAAGCTTCTACAGTGTTCACAAAATGTTGTTTGTAGCATGTAGCTCAACAAATTATACACTATATGCCAAGACTGAGTGATTCTACTTACTTTTAACAAAGACATACGTTGATGTCCAACTATTACTTGATCAGTGGTCATCATCCAAATTTTTTCCTTTATACTGTGTTTAGGTCGTGGCTTGATTTTAACATATGCTATGATTCTTTGTTTTGTTTACATTTACGTTGTTATAACCAACATGGCAACCCATAAGGTCAATGTTAAAATTTAAAGAATTGAGTTACTTTTAAAATTATAAGGCATTACAAAAAATTGAAATTGGTTATGTCTAAACCATCCAAACATTTGACAAAACAACCTTGGTAAGTTTGGCTAAAATATGTTCCGCCCTTATTGAGATTAATATTGCATTGAAGTTGATCCCAAAGAGCTTCGCTTCGCTCTGCTCAATTAGTTTAGTAATGTTAACTGTTATATGATTAATTCATCTTTCCCCTTATTTTCAACTAATAACCCTTCCCGGACGGGTGACGGATATATCCGCCCAAGTGTTTGGCGATAAAGGACGGGTGGCGGATATATCCGCTTATGGTTTTTGATGTTCTGGATGGGAAGCGGGTATATCCGCCTTCCTTCAGACAGACTGGCAGGTGCTTGAGCAGTAAGCAGATGTTTCGCGGTACTGTACCAAGGCGCCACTTTCCTGCTCTTTCCATGGCTGCGCTCTCTCCCGCACTACTCCCTCTCTCACGCGCCTACCCCTCTCCCAAGCCCCCCCTCTCCAGCGCAACACCCACCTCTCCTACACTCCCCCCCATGGATTGCGCTCTCAGTAGCACTGCGGGCGCTGTTTTCGGTCTAGCGCCCCCCACCATCTACTGGCAGTAGCCGACGCTGCCCATACACTCACCATTGTAAAACGCACCTTTGTAAGTTGCTGCTCTGTTTAAATATATAGATATAAAATATTGCTAATGCATGCCAAACACTTTTTACTATTCTAAACTTTATGTCTTCTACTTTTCTTGCAGAAAATATCACATTTTAACTCTTAAAAACCCTACTACATTTGTCCAGTTTTTACCGCAAATCTATGCTCGACATTAACGTGATAGGCATATTTTTTATGACCTATTTTGTAAGATACATTGTCATTAAACATTGAAAGAAAAGATTTCGCGTTTACGTCAAACATAACGTTACCACTGCGGCAAAAACTTAGCAACATTATTCTAAATGTTTATGTACTATTTTTCGATTAATAAAATAGAATTTCAATTACAAATATTGTACTTTCTATTTCTCCTTTGTAATCACTTATTATTTTACCATGTACAATTTGGAACTAGCAATATCAGTTGTCTAAAAACATCTACAAAACAGGTTTAGTGAATTTGTAGTTTTAAAGAATTCAGATAGGCTATTTTCTGCTAGAAACAAAACAGACATAAAAGATTTAACTAGTAAAAAGAGTTTGACAAGCGTTAGCAATATTTTGTCCTTATAAATTTCAACAGAGCAGCAAATAAAAAGTGTGTTTTATAATGGTGAATGTATGGGCTGCGTCGGCTTCTGCCAGTCGATGGTGGGGGAAGCTCGACCGCGCGGCCAACACTGAGCCAGCGATCCATGAGTTGTTTATATCGTTGCTCCCCCCTCGACGTTTCGGGCTCAACACTACGTTATCTCCATTTAATTGTTTACATATTGTTCTTTATTTATAGCCTAACGTTGTCATGGTCATATCTTCAAAGACGGGTGGCGGATATATCGGCTGCTTTTCAACTCATACTTGGACGGGTAGCAGATACATCCGCATAGTTAAAAACGAGTAAAAAATTATTTTGACAGAATGATGTGTTTCATTCTGTTTATTTTATGTATAACAAAACACAAATAAGAAAAAATAATTTCTATAAAAAAAAACAAAACTGATTGTTAAACTATTTAAAGATTTGTTCAATCTTATATAACAATTTCTTAATATGAAGTTTAAATAAAAATGTTTTTAAATTGTTGTAAAACAATTGAAATACAGCTTTTGACAATTTTTAATCATTTTTATGCTCATTGGGTAATGTTTTTATTTTTAAGTTGGCGCTCCTTGACTTAAATGACCAACATATATTTTTTGCAGACATGTGTCAGCATCAACATGGGGGTTCACTTTCGCTCTCCTCATTATTTTTCTGCTCCTGACCAATTTCGCCCTGAAAGATGGCTTCGAGGTGAGAAGGCTGATAACCCCCACCCCTACGTCCTTACACCATTTGGGGTTGGCACTCGGACCTGTGCAGGTCAGCATGTCTTACATGTGTATTATACTTGCCATCATTATTGTAAATGTAGTACTATTATTACTGTTATAAACCATTTCCACTCATTGGTTCACTTGTATATTGGGTAAGTCATTCCTTTGATTATTGATAAAAAAGTAGCCTTGTGAAAATTAACGTTTGTAGTTTTATTGAGTTATTGACACAGTGTGCTAATGTCAATCACTGACATTTGTCGAATGCATCACCTTTTTAACCAAGCCAAAGTCAAAGAACAACCTTAAGTAAACTAGCATGTTTTGTCACATGAACTGTCGTAGCATCAAAAGCTAATAGGGTAGAATATACAATTTGGATTGTAGCATAATCTTCAGAGGCTCATTTAACCATGGTGGAAGTAAATAAAGTGTGCTACTGCGCATCGTACCCGGCTGCTGGCGGTGCGGGGAGGGGTATCGTGACGTCACCTTGGAGGCAAACATGCCTCGCGACCATATCGAGCAGTGACGCTGCTCTAATAAAATTGTAATTTTTAATAGTAAGAACCGATCAAAATTCCTGAAACTTTGCATAGTCTTGGACTATTAACATAGGATGCTTATGATTTAAATTTTATTCTTTTATTTGAAATAAAAACCATTCAACCACAGATCAAACTTCAAACTTTTTCATACTAACATAAAAAAGTTAGTCGGTTGCCAAATCACTTATTATTTGGTCAGGTTTATCAGACCTGCGGGAAAGTTTTAGGGAAAGGTTCTAATTTAACTGTAGTATTGGTTGGATTTCGATAAAAGAATTACTTTTTTAGCTACGAAGAATTATATCAAGTGGCAACGGAGTGCGCGCTCAGCCGATGCCACCGTTTATTGGATAATAAGGCCCGCATTTACTATCCAAAACACTGTAGCTACATGTTATAAGGATATACTTTGTATTCTACATTTTAAATGAAATATGTAATATAGACTGTCAAAGAAAGGTTTTGCGATCTGCAGCTAGAGCGTTATCGCCGTTCGATATTGGTTATCGGTATTCGATTCGGTGTCGACCACGACTACTCGGCAGCTGTTACCAGCACTACCACTCTTGCAAACGAAATGATTACTATATCGCTAGTGCCGTCTTCTGCAATCGCGTCAAACTCATGAACATCTTCCGCGGCTGTGTAGACAACATCATTGAATGCCGTGGTCACGGAACGTCATCGTCGTCGACGATTGCGGTAAAATTGTGAACAACTTCAGCGGCCATGTAGACATTATCGTCTTGCGCGATCGCAGAAAAGACGTGATCATTTTGCCCGCGGTCTCGAAAACGACGTCTATTATAGCATAAATAGCACGGTCGCGGTTTAAGGACATCTCCCGCGGTCGTGTAGGCATCATCATCGTTTTGCGCCGTCACGGAAACGTGATCGTTGTCTAGTACGATCGAGATAAAATCATGAAATTTCCCGACTTTAATATAAAAATAAAGACTAAATCCCAACTTTTCAAGACCATTTTGAAATTCAATACTAATACTGTACCTGACTTTCCCGTTTTCCCCGCATACTAGACACCCTGGTTAATTAGTTTTTGACCTTGCAAATATAAAACAAAACCTTCCAATAAACCACTTCCTAAAATTATGGATTAACAAAGAAAAACTTTGAATCATTGTAATGAAACTACAAAAGTATAACAAATATACGTTTAAAAATACAATAAAATATGGCATTTTAAATTATTTTATCAAATCAAATCAAATCAAAATATACATTATTTCCAAAAATATTCAACAGAATAAAATATAAACATAATCTTCCAGTGAAACAAACACCTTACTTACTATTGCATGGATAAAATAAATAATTATAAAAATACATGTAAACTTATTAATAATAATAACAAAGGATGGAAGGTTTCAGAGAAAGCTATGTTAAATATAGTCATTTAGGAAATAAGCCTACATGGGCTGGAAGCCTGTGCGCAGGCTCAGTCGCTATCAGTGAATTACGTATTTGTTGGAAAACAATAATATTCATAAATATTTAGAAAATCTTAAAAAACAAGTAATTTAATATAATTGTAAAGTACCGTCAACTATTCTGAGGCTAAATTAGTGAAATGAGCAATTTGAGGAATGAGGCAAGGCGGAGGGCATAGACATACTATAGTTAAGAAAGTTCGATGTTAGTAATTCAGTAATATTATTTATTTATTTATATAGTTATTGATTAATACTAAAAAAGTCAGTAAACACCAATTCCGGGGCATTTCTCCAAAGTTGGCAACACTACTCCCAACTACCAAGTTGTTATGGAAACGGTCGCTAGCGCTTGATGATGCAGCGGTGTGCGCCGTAACTACACATTACCCCTAGCGGTCGGCGCCGGAATATACGCTAACCGCAGCACAGCTGACAGTCTATAATTATTTCTTTTTGTCTATGGTAATATTAACATGTGACAGATATAATAAGTTTTACATTAAAATGTGTTGCAACATCTTCGTTTTTATACAAATTAACTCTCTTAGATAACAGTTGCCATAAAATTTCTAGGATCGGAAACGAATAACATTTCCTTAACCAAAAACATTGTTTATTACATTTTGCAATCTTAGAAAAATATATACGACCTGAAAGTAAACATATAAAAAATTAAACATTTCATCACCTCTGGATTTTTATAAACTTTTTTAAGTTTCTTTAGAAATTTTCTTTTTTTGCCACAAGCAAAATTGCATTGTCTTAGCCTCCTGTTGATTTGTTTTATTTTGATATATGTTGGTATCGTTAGATATCTTTTGACAACGTCCTCTTGTAAGTCGCCATTTACTAAGTAAAATTTATTGGTAATGCTAGTTACAGATCCTGGTGCATTGTTAATGTAGGGACTGTGAAAATCGGAAAAACATTTTTCTGCTTTCTCTATAGCAGCAAAAAGTTGTTGTGATGGCGAAATTAACCATTAACGATTAACATAAAACTGACATCTACTGCAACTCGTGGTGAACACAGAAACGAAGACAAAACAAACAACACGTGATCAGATCATCCCCCGCACACACCCCCGCATCAGAGCCAAAGTTGCGACATAGATAACAACCCCAGTGAAATAGTATCCTAGCTGTCGAATTAAACTGGAATATCACATTTTTTTACCATGGTATTACAAGAGTGAAACAATTTTATATTTTAACCTGATTATAAATACAATGTTTAATCATCAACTTATTTTTATTAGAGTTTCTTACATTTTATTTTATATACTACGCTAAATACATTACTTTGCATTAAAGATCATTTATTATTTAAACCACTATTTGCAAACTTTGGTTTTAACTAATCAACAACAATTTGCAATACTTTAAATGCAATTTGGCAACGTTAACGCTATTCACAGAGGAGCCAATATTATATATTCTCTGTGAACTATTACGAAATAACCCATATTCAAACGGGGAAAAACACACTGAAGTCAACAGAACAACAATTTTTCACATAAAAATATAAATACAGGAATTAAAATATCATACTGATTACTGATACTATATTCATGAAACTACATTATTTGTTGGATGGCAATGTGTGATAATGCAGTACTTGGCAACTGACTCGACTCGCAGCACGCGCTCCGATCACGCGCTCATATAACTTAGCATATCTCAGGAAATAACGCCTCTAACGGTATATAGTTTGAAGGAAAGTTAAATTTGGATCTTCATCTAAAACTTTCCCGCTGGTCAAATGCTTCTAACCAAATAGTACGTGATTTGGTAGCCGACTAACTTTTACATGTTTAGTTTTAAGAAAGGCCAAGTATAAAGAGTGATTTCACGCTTAAGTTTTTAACAATTACAAACTATTTTTTCACAACACGCATCGTCCACTTATAATTGATGTCCATGTCAAGTTTCATAATTTTTCCTCAATTCTAACAGTTCAAAATGTTGATGTTAATAGAGCAGTGTCACGCTGAGATATATACGCACGCAAAGCGGTTTGCCCCCAAGGTGACGTCACGTCGCGATGCGCAGAACGGTCTCAAACTCGTCCGGCTGAGTAGTACACCTTATTTACTTCCACCATGCATTTAACTACTTTATGTTAAAAAAAAATGCTTTAGCTGGTCCATATACATGGGATCCCTAGGCTTCGTCCTGGTAATAATTTTCTTGAGTAGGTGATAGAGAGGATGGGGTGATGTGCCCTGCTATCAACAGGCGAGATTTTATTTTCTTGAATCAGCTGTTTACAAGTCTTTTTTTTATTCAACTAGCAGCAAAACCAGAGAATACGATGCACACCCCAAAGCCCACGTCCAGAATCCCCCCTCAAATTTGTTGTTTAACCTATGCCGGGAGGTCCCAGGGCATCTCGCCAGTTAAAATTGGTGGGGTCAATTTTTTTCAAAAGCACTGCAAAATTATGGATAGGGCTTTCAGATCTTGAATAGAATTTTAAACGCAGTTTAAATGGTAAAATACCTAATTATTGGTAGATTTTATAAATAACTAGTGTCCCTGTTGCTTGAAATCGAGCAATAGCTAAGTATTACTGATCTTATTTTAAAACGAATAACAGTCATATTTTTGTATAACTTAAAAAGATTCTACTCAAAGATTATGGAATACTCAAGATGTACATAACAGATCGATATAATCAACATTTCTTGTAAATATCTTATCATTTTTCATAAGCTGATCTTGTTTTTTAGGGTTTTCTACAAATAGCCTTACTCAGAGCCGCATTAGGCTGTTTATAATAACGATTAAAAATTAAAAAAAAAACACTATTTCTATTTCCTCTCCTTGGTGGTGTTCTATGACTTCCCTATGTTTCCATAGTTTGCAAATCGGCTCTTTCAATGATTACTAAAAAAATGCAGCACAGTGTTAATTGAGTTTTCTTTCTATTGTAATATTAACGCCAACCCAAATTCAAATAGTAAATATTTCATTTCAACCAAGTAAGTAAATGTTTGAAGCAAACTATAGTTCGGCCGCTTAGAAAACGACCTACGCGCTAATGCTAAACCAATGCTGGAGGAGGTCGCTTTCTAAGCGGCCGAACTATAACTGTTAAATTAGCAAACTTATTGACTGTTTACAATTAACATAAATGTTCTTCTTCTCACTTTTAATTTCTGACAACAGCTGGAGTTTCATAGCAATTTTTGTTTCCCATGTTAATCTTATGGAGAAATACGAAACTTTAAAGGGCCCCAGGGCCTCACCCTCTAATTATTTCCCTAAAAAGAAAGTTTCCTGCACAACTTCACGGTACGCTCTTTCCAATGACACCAAGGACATTTAAATCGGTTCAGTAGTTGGTGGGAATGAGAGGGTTTGGTTTATCATTTAGGCCTAGGTTATCATCTATTAATCAAAAGAGAATCTTTTACTGACTTTCACAAAAGAAACTGCAAAAACGGCAGGTAAACTGTCAACTCAATTAGGCCTTTTACCATCACCAGCTTTAGCAACAAAACCAAGAAAAGAGAAAACGCCAAATAAAAAAAAATCTATACAAATCCTTAATCTTCTCCTTTGTCTAAATTGTGCACGATTTTGTGCGCCAGGTTCTCAAGTATGTAATTAATTTACGATTAATTTCAAACTCTAAAACCGTTCACGTTAAAAAGTTTATGAAGATGAACATTTTGTTTGAAATTTGCAATAGATTTGGTTTTGGAGACATTCAGAAAAAAAAAATAAAACTGCTACCTAATTTTCTACTTTAACCCTGCTTTACCCGAAGCTCTAAATGGTGCAACTTTTAACCATACAATACAGGGACTATGTTGAACAGTTTGGAGTCAAAAGTTAGCTTTAACTTTGGATGTTGAGGTTTAAGTCTAATATAGCAGTGCAACATACTTTAGGCAAAAAGTTGTTATCATTGACATAAATTATGTATTAGCATAAAGTGGAAATCCACAGAAACATAATAAATTTAATAGCTGAAATATATAAAATGATAAAAATTTAAATAAAATTGTGATTGTGTAACCACACCAGTAATAACTTAAAGAAGTCGTAAACAATCATCTAATAAATCTTTTATGAGCTTCTTACCAACTAGGCTGGAATCCCCCAAAACCCCCAGTAAACCTCAAAATCCCCCCAAAAATCTGCCAATACTGCAAGTTGTGACACCAAATCCCCCTGTGCAGCCGGCCTGGCAGCCGCACTTTTCGCACATGCCTAAGGCTGGCTCTGTTTCTCATTATATTTTTCCTCAATATTTTTCAAACAAACGCTTTTGCCTTGGAGAGAAAAATCCTATCATTTTTTTCTGTACCAAAAATTAGGAAGGAAATCAAAATCCTGTCCTCCTGTAATGAAAGAGATTGTGGGTTTCTAGTTTACTTATGTTATTCTCATTGCTAATCTTTCAATTGAATTTCACAGGAAGAAGATTTGCTGAACAAGACATGTATGTTCTCCTCACTGAGGTAGTTAGGACTTTCCAGTTGAGTTTTGAAGGAACCGAACCTCTTGACTTGGAGTACAACACTCTTTTGTTACCATCTAAACCTCTCCGTATAAGGTTTACCCCTCGACACTCATAGCATACTACATACACTAACCACAGGAGATTAAAGGTTTGTATTGTTTTCTTCATAACATATTTTTAGTTCATTTTGTGTTGTTCTAATTTTATTGCTGCTGCAAATAGCATTCACAGTTAGGTTTTAGCGAATTTCCCATAAAAGGAATAAGCCATTACCATAGGTACCATGTTAAGACCTAGACTCGGGGTAGGAACCTAGTTATTTATACTTTCTCCCCCTATGCTGTAGTGCATGGAGAAAGTATTGTTTTCGTCAACATTTTTTGTGTTTGACTTTTCAGTGGATATATCCGTTTTGGGTCCCCCTGGACCCAACAAAGTAATGTCTGAAACTGAATGTGTTTGTATGTGTGGATGTGTTAAGAGCTACAGACCCCGCCCGTGGTCCGATTTTGATGAAATATGGTATGTAGGTACTAATCCACAATTAATCTAGGCGTTTATTTTTTGTATAAAAACTGTTTTTCTTATATTTGTTATTTTAACTTATAAACTCATAAATTAACAGAAAATTCTAATTATCTTGAAAAATGGCGACGACGATTTTATAACGATTTTGATAACATTTTAGTATGTTATATCATCCCTTTAAATTATGAACAAAATGGTATAACTCCCATAGCTGTAAAAACTATGGTTCAAAAGCTATTGTAACTTATGTTATTTTCCCATAAAAAATGCCATAAAATAACAGAAAATCAGATTGTTGAAAAAAGCTAGTTGTGATTAAAATTTGTATATTATGGTTCTTATATTTCTAAACAAAATAGTGCAACCACCCATTGCTGTAAATATTACGGTTCAAAAGTTTAACAACTTTTGTGATTTTTCCCATAAAATATCATAGTTACTCCCACCACTGTTGACAAGCTAATGGGAGAAAGAATGTGCCAGGTTGCTGATACCGTTTATTTATTTTGATCTGATATTTTGATATTTTATTTTGATCTGATATTTTTGTCGTTCCCACACATCACTGTGTGGTTGGGAGGGGTGTTAAACGGTTCACAAAATGAATACCTTCTATACCTAGCTATGGTTTCAGAAATAACTTAGTACCTAATACAAACACTGTTCTGTTAATCAAACAGAAATGACTGTGCATCACAAAAGCACAAAATGAACACAACTGCGAGAAACTTGATACCTATCAAACATTTGTCAGTTGTCTGTCCATCAACTGTCTGAAGATCATATCAATGTTAGTGTCAAGAGAACATGGAGGGATTTTATCATTTTGTAGAAACACTTTCTCAAGATGAATCCAAAAATGTTGGCTTTTGCATTCACTTATGCGACTCTTAGCTTGATTTTGGTTTCTGTGAGTATGCTACTGGGTAAAAGTTACTTTTCAAAGGATTCATTCTGTTTTTATAGGTTTTTTTTATTTTTCCTTTTGGAGGATAATAAACAAATAGAATTTGCAGACAACTTTATTAATCTTAAGGGACATACTATATGTACCTAGCTCTATCATTTATAATTCTCAAGATATTTTTATGTTTTCATTAATATTATGTTTTTGGTAAGAGATCTAACTCTCATAACGAGTTGATTTTGATAAAATTAAAAACATCATACTGATATTATAAATGTGAAAGTTTGTGTGTTTGTTTGTTTAATCACGCATCAACTACTGGCATAAACAAAAAGAATTAAATATAGACAGCTGTCAGCCGTGCTGCGGTTACCATGGTTACCATAGGTTTTGGCGCACACCGCTGGGAGTGCCGTGTAGTTTACGTAGGGGGTACGCCGTAACTACGTGGCGCTCCCAGCCTACCTATGTGTACCTAGGTGTGCGCCAGAACCTATGGTAACCGCAGCACAGCTGGCAATCTATATTTAATTCTTTTTGTCTATGCTACTGGTCAAATTGGGCTGAAATTTGATATGATGATAGCTCACATTCCTGAAGAACATATAGACATACTGTATTCTTTCTTATCTCAAAAATCCTTTTGGGCTCCGCTCCAGTGGCTGGTGGCTCTGTAGTTTCCAATGTTAACCTTACTATAGTTCGGCAGCTTAGAAAACGACCTCCTCCAGCATTGGTTTACCATTAGCGCACAGGTCGTTTTCTAAGCGGCCGAGCTATAGTAATCATATTTAAAAGGAATTAAAGAATGTTGTCAGTTGTTTCAAGTACACAAGTTGGTTCTATGATATTCAATAGCATTATAAAGTTATAAGGTTTACCAACAGGGTGTAGCACTATTCATTTTATATTTCATTTATGACAACAGCTAATTTGAACCAAAAGCAGCAACAAAAAGCTGTGATTAGTGATGTAAAATACCTGGGTATTTAAAACTCGGGGTAAATACCCTGGGTATTTACCCGGGTAAATACCCATAATCCAGAAATACCCGGGTATTTTGGGTATTTACGAAATTGATTGAAATTAATTCATATTTACCCCTAAATATGTTATTGTTATCATTACATGATAAATTAGGATAGTCTGTAACACCTTTTACAGTAACTTGAAGCTTTGCTAGTACCTTTTATTGAATGATTTAGCACTTTTTTGTTATGAAATCAAGACAACACCTCATCAGAGAAATAGTGAACCTAAACCTACTTCTACTGTTATTAAATTATGATAGTTAAAATTTGTATTGTGTAAATGGCTTAGAAGGCTAGACAGACCCAAAGCCTGAATGACATAGGCAGAATGGCAGAATACTGAAAGTACAGTAGACTCCCTCTCATCCGGACTCCTCGGGACCGAGGCTAGTCCGGATAACGGGTTTTCCAGTTAAACCGATGTCCCCAAAAATTTTTTGTATCACAAGTTTATGAAATTAGTTTTTTTTATACCATTGATACCAACAAAAGATCTAGAACAAAAATATTATTAAATCCTGCCATCCTCAAGATTGAATTTTTTTATTATTTTCTTAAGTTGTTTACACATAGGCCGGTTAAATTTTCCTGTTTTTCTAAATAATAACTATTACTTTACAAATTATTTTTCTTCACTTTTAATAAAATAAATTCATCTATAATTGAAATTTAAAAAAAATATATAAGTAGTCAGTACCAGTGCAACCATGCGACCAGGGTATTTATGCTTTATGCTCAGACCTGGGTATTTATGGCGATACTTGGATACTTACTTGGATACTTGGAGAATTCCCACTGGTATCGCATCAGCGACGTGGTCGTCAGGTTTTTATACATTTCTTCATATATATTTATATAGGTGGATTCATTTCCTCTTCAAGATTGTACATGGCCTAGACATATATCTCATCAACACTGTAGTAGGCCACTTGACTTAAGAATGTTTTTAGCAGGTTCTTGAATTTGTTGACAGAGGGCTCTTGTGTGATGTACTGAGGCAATTTATTGTAAATTTTTATACTATTGAAGTAAGGGCTCTTGCTTGCAAGGGTGGAATTTACTTGAGGTACATGTGGATTTGTTGCTCTTCTTGTATTGTAATTGTGGACCATGCTGTTTGTTACAAAAATATTGGGGTTCTTCTTAACAAGCAATGCGGATTCCAATATAAAGAGGGACGGAAGTGTGAGGATGTTCAGTTCTTGGAACAAAGGTTTACAGTGTGTCCGTCTATGGACTCCACATATTCTTCTAATTGCACGCTTTTGAAGGATGAAGATGCGTTTTGCCTCACTACAACCACCCCAAAATACCAAACCATATGAGATTATGCTATGAAAACAGCCATAATAAACCTTAAGGAGAATCTCGATGTCAACCAGCTTTTGAAGTCTAAACAGCAGGTAGGTGACAGATGACAGTCTGGGCGCTATTGCATCGACATGTGTTCCCCAATTAAGGTTCTCCGTAATGTGTAGGCCCAAATATTTGGTTTCACTACAGGTTTCAAGTAGCACCCCGTCCAAGGTCAATATCGGAGGTGGTTCAGGCTTCTTCCTGTTATAAAATTCCATTAATTTAGTTTTACTAGAATTAAGGACCAGATGATTTTCGCTACACCAAGTTGACATTTCAAGCAAGCCAGTTTGGGCGTTTTCAATCGTGATGTTCCGATTTGGGCTTGGGACTAGGTGACAGGCGTCATCGGCAAAAAGCCATAAATTTCCAGATGATATGGAGCCAGGCAAGTCATTCACGTATAACAGGAATAGGATGGGCCCAAGGTTTGATCCCTGGGGGACACCGATGTTCAGAGCTGGTGATGGAGACGATTTATATGTCCGAAGGATGTTGTCAGGGCCTCTGTGCTTCAAGGATACAATCATGTGCCGATCTTTAAGATACGATGAAATCCATCGCAGTGGGTTTCCAGAAATGCCAAGCGCTCGCAGCTTATCCAGAAGGATACTGTGGTCAAGAAGATCAAAAGCCTTTGTCATGTCGTAGAAGAGACATAGTAAGCTGTCAGATATGTCAAGGTGGTTATACACTTCCTTTAAAAGGGCAAAAATGGCATCACAGGTAGACATGTTTTTTCTGAACCCAAATTGGTTATTTGACAAGATGTTATTTGTTTCAATAAAACTTAGCAATCTTTTAAGAAAAATAATCTCAAAGATTTTACCAAAACAAGGCTGGACAGAAATAGGCCGGTAGTTACTTGCGTTAAGAGGATCATTTTTCTTAAATACAGGGACAACCTTTGAAGTTTTCAACGAATCAGGAAAGCAACCAGTTTCAAACGACTTGTTAATAGAGCAGGCCAATGCTTCAAAGATGTTTTCATTGCAAAGTTTGAGAAGGCTGCATGGGACTTCATCAATGCCAGAACTTTTTTTTGATCCTATTAATAAGACGACTTCACGAACCTCAGACGCAGAAGTAGGAGACAGTACAAAGCGACTCGCTTCGAGATCAGTGGGCAACACAGGGGCTACATTATCTTTAGCCAACGTACATATTTCCTGGTGAAAAGATTTACAGAAATAGTCTACTATTGTCTGAGGATTTTTGACTTCCACGTCATCGATCATAAGAATCAGGTTTGATTGGGTCTGATACTTTTCATCGCACAGTGTACGGACCACTGCCCAAGATTCCTTGCTTGTGTTTTTGGAATTTAATATTTTGTTACCAAAAAAGGCCTTTTTTGTTTTGTTAACAAGTGCAGAGTGGTGGCGTTTAGCTGCGCGATAAGCATTTTTTCCATCGACAGAACAGTGAGGCGACCTAGTATTCCAGTACAGGTCCAAGAGTGCTTCATGCGACTGCGATACCTCATGACTGACCCAAGAAGGGCTATGTTCATTCTTTGTATTTGAAGTAGACACAGGGAAACTTACATTAAAAACATACATGAACGAATCGTAGAAATGGTCAAATAAATCATTAGAGGTGATATTTCTTAAATTAGGTTCTGGCATCCAAGCTTCATTGTTAGATAAAATTTTGAAGGCTTCAAAAGTCGAGGCTGTAAATTTCCTCTTCACTGTCTTATTTACATTTCCCTCTCCAAAACGTTCACACAACAAGTGTACTGATAACAAATGGTGGTCAGAAAAAAAAACAGGTTTGGCACTGGAGGCACGAAACATATGTGCAACACACGAGTCAACAATAAAATAGTCAAGCTGAGTTATACAATCAGGTGTTACTCTCGTTGGACCTTTAAATATAATGTTCAGGTTATTACATTCTAACAAATCCTGAAGCAGCTGACTTTCCCAGGATCTCTCAAGATTGTTTATATTTAAGTCAGCGCAAATAAGAAGCGGGATATTAAACTTATCTCTGAGGGTAGAAATCAACAAGTCAAAACGATCAATAAAATCAATCACATCAGCGCTGTTGGCAGTCCCAGGCCGATACAATACCACAACAATAATTTGGAACTTGTCTAGCTGCATTAGTCCCAAACAGAACTCAAATACACCTTCAGAACAAATGTCTTCGTCAATAGATAATGTCATCGGCTTAAATTTAAGCCTAGAGTCAGTTTTAAGCAACAGAGCAACTCCACCCCCTACTCGGTTAGGTCTAGAATATTCAGAAATGGTTTTGTATCCATTTACTTTAAAACAATTCAGCTTAGATTCATTAAGCCACGTTTCGGCAACACACAATACTTCAGGGTTCTTATTATGTAACAAAACTTCAAGGTCTTCTATCTTGTTAAAAATAGACCTAATATTTAAGAAATCAAACCTAAAACTAATATCACAGTTTTTTTCCGCCCCAAGACAATGTGGGTTGGGGCTTACGTCCCGTTTTTTGGACCATCAGAAGTCTTAGAAGTAGGCCTAGGCCTATCATGTTGTTCAAGGTTAGGCCTAGTACTGGTCCTGTGACTATTAGTTCTAGGAGTCAAAAATTTACATATAAGTATTCCCTCAGGCCAGAGATTGCTATCCAACAGCTTGTCAATAGAGTCAGAAGGTACACCTACCTTAAAAGATGAGTAACCCTGGTACTTAGTGGGAAGTTGTTCACACTGGATTTGAGAGTGTTCAATAGGACACAAGTTCCTTATATACTCAACTAGGCTTTCAGGTTTCACACATGGGTCAAATCTTGATAAAAACACCCAGGATTTCCTCTGTGCCACAACAAGAGGTCCAGTTTGTTTGGCTTTGCCAATTATAGCTCGGTTTCGTTGCACTTTAGATTGAGGACGAACTGGATTTGACTTCTCTCTATCACCACGACTATTTACATTAATCCTTTTCTTCCTAGTCACTTGATTCCAATTGCCATCAGCACCAGGAGACATGCCGAGAAGTAAAATGCTAGTAGTGTCCATATGAAATTTTGTTTAACACATTTTATTATCATTTTACTATCCTTACAGGGTAATAATTGCAAAAAAACATCTCAATCTTCTCTAACTTTAATGCAAATTATAAATACCCAGTTTTTGGGTATTTACCCGGGCCTGGGGTAAATACCCAGGTAAATACCCAATTTATATTTACCTACCCACTGGGTATTTACCCGGCCCACATCACTAGCTGTGATACACAATTAGTCAGAGAAATATAGGATATGACATTAAAAAGAATTCAAAGAAAATGTTTTATGGTTTTATTTTCTAGTGTTGGGTGTGCAGAGTGACATACTAAAAGTTGCCAAATATCTGTCTACGGAAAACCCCCTAAATCACGATTAAAAATGGCGGCTTTTCCCAACATTTGACACAGTTAAATTTACTCAAGAAATTTACTCGAGACCACCTCCGATATTTATTGGGTGGTTAGTACTTCATTTTAATAGGGAACATGTTTTTGGCCACCATATTGGATATTAATAAAAAAATGTTAACGTAACGATAGCGTTGTGACACATCATTATAAACTAGATTTTCACGCTGATTTAAATGCCGAAATCTGTTTTTAAATTTCTTTGTTCGTTTCAAAGATATATTCAAACTAAAGCTTTCCCCTATACATTTCTTTTGGACGTTTCATACTTTAAAAAATACTAGTGTACATGTTGCTCGAATTCGAGCAATTGCAAAGTATTACAGGAGTTATTTTAAAACGAATAACAGTCATATTTACAATGAGTTTAAAAGAGTCAACTCAAAGATTACCAGTGTGTAACTCAGACCATGTTTATCTTCGTTATTGATAAACCTAAAGCATTCCGGCCGGTTTTCTCCTTCTGAAAATGCCTCGCTGTACAGGCAACACAGGTCATTGATAGAGGGCCAATTGAGAACGAAAAGTCATTTTGGGGTAGTGTTAGGGCGCATTTGTAACCTAATAGTTGAGATTGTCCGGGGTCAGGTGCTGACAGTGATGAGTTAAGCCTATTACGCGCCACTGTTCTGTAGCTGCGGCCGTTATCACGATTACGCCTCCTGTCTATGTTTCGTCGTCGTCACGTCAAGAAAAAAACAACAAATAAACTAATAATTATAGCTACACAAAACAACGATAAATACACAAATTTAAGATACAACCATACCAACATGATCCGTCTTGGGGGTTATGTTTACACAAACTCAAATAGTAAATAAATGTACTCAATGCGTTTCATTGAATTGAAAAATAAATAACAGCAATTAAATAATACAGCTGATCAAAATGTAAACAATTATGTTCTCCATAAGGATAACATGGGAACTTTCAAAGCCACTGGGGCAGAGCCAAGGGACCTTTTCAAAAATGTAAGGCCAGTTTGCAAATCTACACGACACGCTCTTTCCAATGAGCCGTCAATCGATAAAATCGGTTAAGAAATGGCGGAGGAGTTCAACCGACAAAGTTTCATGTAGCGTATTAATTATATAGATTTGTAACTAGCTGGCCCGACAGACGTCGTCCTGTCCTAATGTGGTTTTATGTCAAATGCTCTTTCATTTTCAAGATGAGCTCGTTCGCTTGGCTCAATCACGTCCTGGTTGAAGTTCGTTCGCTACGCTCACTCACCTTTGGGTTGGAGCTCTATCGCTGCGCTCACTTGCCTTCAGGTTAGCTCGTTCGCTACGGTAACTCGCCTCCAGGTTGAAGTTCGTTCGCTACGCTCACTCACCTTTTGGTTGCAAATTAGCTGTTGTCATAAATTTAAGAAAATGATAGTGCTGCTCCCTGTTGGTAAACCTATTAACTTTTTAAATGCTATTGAACATCACAGAATCAAATTGTTTAGTTAAACCAGCTGTTAAGATTCTTTAATTCCATTTAAATATGAGTACTCATAAGGTTAACATGGGAAACTCCAGAGCCACTGGGGCAGAACCCTTTTGACGGATCTACACCAAACTTCACACAAACCATCCTTGAATAATGCCTTATAATACCTGAAAATTTCATTACTATCTGTCAAAGCGGTTTCGGAGTCTATAAAGGACAAACAAACATCCATTGGATTTTATATATATAGATAGATGTAATGTTAAATGAAGGTCCATGACTCATTTTAAAGTTTTCAGATTTAACTTAGTGATTAATTAAATTAAAGCCAAACATTTACTGAGTAATTAGAGACCAGAAAGAACTTGGTGACGTATTGACAACCCAAGATATATAAATCTTTTGATTAAAACTGATTTCTAAAAAGTGTAATTTAATATTATGTTGGGGGTCCGTAGCTCGTCTCTAACTCCTCCGATTTTAATGATGACTGAATATTTTAAGGCTACAACAAACTAAAAGGGTTACTAAGAACGGGAGATATCGAAAAATTATTTTAAAAAATGTTTGAAGTATGAAACGTCCATAAGAAATGTAAGGGGGGGGGTGGAAAGTTTTTGATTAAATATATCTTTAAAACGAAGAAAGATATTTAATACCCCCGCCGCAGCAAACCTGCAGACTAAGCGAATTTCCATATACACAGCTGGAATTCCACTAAATTATTCCCTTAAAATTATCAGATTTATTTCCTATTTAAACATCATTAATATTAATGAGTACTTAGATTTGCTGCTACAGGGAAGAAAATAGGGGGCTTTTATTGAAATATTAATAGCTCAGTATGAAGTAAACAAAATTTCATTAATTTCCATACACAAGCAAGCTACAACACTGTAGCTTATTCTCCATAAGAATAACATGGTAATTTTAAATTTACATTATTTTGCGATTTTTCCGTAACCGTTAGGCATGCAACAATGCTTAAATATACTAAATTATTTGTTTTTTTGAGCTCTACAAAATGGTTTAGAAAGAAATTGCAAAATATTATGTTTTCAGGGTGAAAAATTAGAAAAACCCATTTTTACCCCATAAAACCCCCATAAACCCCTGTTCACATAGTCCGATCATGCTGGTTCGCGAACTCGTTAGAATAAATGTAGGCTTACACGTTTATACCAAATTTCATCAAAATCGGATCATTTTTGCTTGAGTTATCACGCTAACGGACATATATATATATATATATATATATATATATACTAGCTGTAACCCGCGGGCTTTGCCCTGTTTAACTTCTTAATTTTCAAGATTATCTCGTTCGCATGCGCATGGCTCAATCACGTCCTGGTTGAAGTTTGTTCGCTACGCTCACTCACCTTTAGGTTGGAGCTCGTTCGCTACGCTCACTCACCTTTCGGTTGGAGCTCGTTCGCTGCGCTCACTTGCCTTCAGGTTAGCTCGTTCGCTACGCTAACTCGCCTCCAAGTTGAAGTTCGTTCGCTACGCTCACTCACCTTTTGGTTGCAAATTAGCTGTTGTCATAAATGTAAAAGAAATAATAGTGTTGCACCCTGTTGGTAATCCTTGTAACTTTAATGCTATTGAACATCATAGAACAGAACCAACTTGTTTAATTGAAACAGCTGTCAAGATTCAATAATTCCAGTTCTCATAAGGTTAACATGGGAAACTCCAGAGCCACTGGGGCGGAGCCCGAAAGGATTTTTGAAATAAGAATATGCCTATATGTTAATCGGGAATGTGAGCTATCATCATGCCAAATTTCAGCCCAATCCGACCAGTATTTTTCGCGTTGACTTGTCACAAACATACATCTATACATACATCCAAACTTTCTCATTTATAATATTAGTAGGATATCACGCTAACGGACATATATATTATATATATATATATATATATAAATTTGAACGGATGGTGTTTTTGGCCTCTGGGGACCTCAAAACGAAAAACTAAATCGGTCCCAGGTCCAGGTCTTACCATGAGACCTACGGTAATAGCTTATTCCCTATATGGTAAATTCGCTAATTCCCTATACGGGAAATTTGCTAATTCCCTATATGGGAAATTCGCTAATATTCCCTATATGGGAAATTCCCTAATTCCCTATATAATAAATTCGCTAAAACGGATTCCGGCATTTAAATCATCGTGAAAATCTAGTTTATAATGATGTGTCGCAACACTGTCGTTACGTTTAAAAAACTTTATTTTTATCCAATATGGCGGATCCTAAAGCCCCCCATACACTATCGAACATGCCACCCGACCTGACAACCTGACCTGACGACGGACCCATCATCCAACCTGACTTATGTCGGGTGTTTCCCACACACTGTCGAGCATGTCACCCAACAAGTCAGGTGAAATATTAGTTCTGAGATGGATTTTGAGACGACTGTTAGCTGTTTCAGGGGGATTTTTAGCGATGGTTTTAGGGATTTTTAGAGCATATGGAACTAGGCTCTTAAATTTTCAATTTTATTTTTAACGAACTATAAATCACACTCTGGATACAGTTCCTTGCACTTTTCCATCAGGATATCGTGCCCCTATGTGCATGTTTGTTGCAATAGAGTTTACTTTTGACAGCCCACAACGCCTTCTAGTCTCTGTAGAGTTAAATAAATTCTGACCAGAACTGTTTATTATTTAATGACATTATGGAAAAATGGGACGGTTATCACATCACGCACAACTCGCTACCCACATAGCACCGAATATTTATTTGATATCAAATAGCTATCAAATTTTTGACATTTGAATATCAAATTGATATTCACGAACATTCGTTTGATATCAAATAAACGTTCAATTTAGGTTCAAACGTCACTCAATTTTACATCAAATAAATATTCAAATTGAATATAAAATAAATATCAAATTTGACATTCATAAATTTATTGGTAAAATATAATAAAGAGAATATGATTGAATTTACATTCACATTTTAAATATGATGGTGATAAATATTGATATAACATTTTTGACATTCGAATATTAAATTAATATTTGCGAACATTCATTTGATATCACTTAAATGGTCAATTTAGGTTCAACCTCACTTAATTTGACATTAAATAAATATTAAATTGAATATCAAATAAAT